AACTGCTTAGAATGTTAACACCCGGTTCTAGCAAATAGGTGTGAACTGGTAGAATCCCACCATGGTTCAGACCAAGATATAACTAAAGGTTTTTGTTTTTGCATGACTAGGATTCAATAATGAATCACAGATTTGTAAGAGTTTACAGGTTAACTTTGCTCTTCAGCTACATCTGTAGAAGACTCACAGACATATCTGTCCTAGATGAGAATCTTTATTGTAGACAAGAATGAAGCCTTACATGATAGTTGATTACCTGCTATCAGTAAGAAAATTGCATGAGCTTTATTGCCTTTACTTGGGGCTTCTTGATTACTGTTACAAATATCCAGATATTGTGCTTTGTGTCCTTGGAGCCAAGAAGTTGTATGTTTACATACTGTAATAGTAATCTCCAGCATGGGAATTATTAGTTACTATTTTAGTCATCACATGATGCCAAGTGTATTATCTTCTAAATGGCACTAATAATAGGCATAAGGAAATCAATCGGGGAATGCCTTCTTACAGCAGACTGGCAGTCTTTCTTTTGATGAGTTAGGCAGATCATACATTCTGATGACATTCTGCTCTCAGAAAATATATAAAACTGTATGTTTGACATCTATGTCTTGAGTAACATAATCTACACAAAGTAGAATTCCCCAATCCATGACTTATAATTTTATCAGAGAGAACTCAAGTAAGAATTAATTTGGAAAGCCTAAGTAAAATTGGGTACTTAGGACTGCAGAGCTACATGTTGAACACCAGACAGCAGGAATGAGGAGGAGTTCATCATTCCTTACTGTGATTTGGAACCTTAATTCTGACTGCCACAGTGGTGAGGAAACCACTCCATTCTCTGATACAGCTTTACATTAAGTTGTCCTATGCAGATATGTAGAACAAAAGCTTCCTTCAAGATCTAAGACAGATAAGGTGAATATATTCTCTCCTTAAGGCAAAGAAAATTCAAGAGACCAGCAAAGTTAAAGAATGCATTAAAAAAAAGATTATGATGTCATAAAGGCAGATAAAATTCTTGTTCAGTTAATAAGAGAAGTTATTTTTGTTGTAAAGATTGATATAAGTTAAGTATTAGGGAGAAATTTGAATAAACCACATTTGGATATGCATTATAATTCTGGAATGTTCACCTCTGACTTCCTATGAAACAGCCTAGTACAGACACATTTTTGTTGCTGTAACAGCAACACCCCCCCCCCCCCCCCGTCTTATTACCTCAGGCAAAACCTTTCTGGAAGAATGAAACTGGTATATGTAATAATGTTCTCTCTGCTCTGAAGTTATAATAGACAGATGAACAAAATAAAAATAAAATAAAAGCAAATAATTAAAATTTGGAACTTAGATTTGCATGCAAAGGGCTTTATCCTTCTCACGGCCTGCAACCTATCATAATGGCCATGATAGATCATTTTTACTTTATCAGTTTCCTTTTTCTAGTTGAAAAGCCATATAGTGGGTGACATATAGCTACAGGGAAATCAAGCTGGGAAAAATGAAACACAATAGATCATATCTAGCACCACTAGTCATAACAAAAAACAAATTCTAGGTTTTCCTTTTGAATGTCCTCCCTTTTTGTTTTAAGTTCCTGCTTCTTCTTACCCAACTAGCACACACATACACAAATGTATATTTATCTAAAACATAAAGAATGGTTTCACAGTGTACAAAACATTTATTATTAATGTTATTAATTTCAAGATCTTATTTATATATGCTTATAAGGGTTAGGGTTAGGGTGAGTAATTTCAGGCACGCTTTGTATTCCTAGCAAATTTATTTTTGGGGGGAGAACATGGCCTTCTCCACAGTAGTTTCATTCATTTGGTTTCTTTAAAAGAACAATAAAAACTCATTGGGGTGTCTGCCTAGGAGAAGATAGTTTTTCACCAACAGAGAGCACTCTTTCATCCACATAAAAACAAAATGCTCAAGTTGAAGGCCTTTTATAAAGTTTTGTTTCAGGAACAAAGGCGTTCATTCAGATATAAGGCTTCTCTGCTTTTAGTTCTTTCTGGTCACCTGATCAAGCTCTTGGTAATTTTTAGGCTACTTTAGTCTGCATTCCTCAAATTCTTTATACTTGGCCCTGTAATTAAGAGCTTCAGGTTCACTGCCTAAAACGTAGATTCTATAACTTTCCACTTCTTGTGCCCTCAAATGCGAGACTAATGCAACAGTCAAAGCTGCACTCAGTTCTGAGTCTCAAAAGCAACCTCTTGCAGCTACAAAAAAAGAAAAAAGTCTTCATGTGAATGCGGTGGAGTCATAATCAGGTAAAACAGAGGCTTGCAATTTGTATATATTTGCACAAGATTATTTTCTAAAGGATGCTTTGGCAATATAAACAAAGCACTTCTATTTTGAATGTATTTTTTTCATACCATATAAATTGCACAGTTTCTGATTTTGGTGACCTTTAAATTAATCTATTAATATGTATTGTGTTTATTATAGAATTGTGCTTGTTCCAAGCAAGTTGTATAATCATTTGTGGATGATATTTGGTATAAAAGTGGGGATAAGTATGGCAGATGCCCATTTATGACATAGTAAATGATAACTTGTTGGTAAAGACATTTCTAGTTACTAGAATTTACTACTGAGCATTTAAAATATTTTTGTACAAACAGCAAGTGAAACTAATGAAAGAAACCATATCAACTTATTTTCACACTTTTGCAGTCAAACTTCAAATAGATATCTCAGGTGAAGTACAATTTGGAGATTTTTAATGGGATCCACAGAAAAGGGCTCTTGATGTGCCATCTGGAACCCAAGGATTACTTACTGTAAGCTTATGGCATTGATGGGGAATATATGGTGGAATCTTTTTATACAGCATGTCTACCAAAAAAGCTTTTTTTTTTCTTTTTTTAAATAATGGTAAATTATGAACAATATTTATCTTGTGCACAAAAAGGAAGATACAAAGAGGGGATAGAATTTTTTAAAAATTAGTTTTATTCTTAGATAAACTTTCTTGAGGAGCTTGAAAAAGAAGTATAAGCTAAGTTATTATAGTTATTCTTGTCCTGGGTTACCACTGTTGTGCGGTAAGAGCACATTACAGAAATCTTTACAAAACTTTAACTCTCCTGAGAACAGGCAAACATGCTAATTAGCAATGGAATACGCAATAGAATATAATTTATTGCATCTATCGCTTTCTAAGTGGGCACAAATCAAATGTAAAATATGAGATAATGCAATTCTAGTGCACATTATACATACATCAGGTCACGGATACAATTGGAGAGATACAATTGCCACACGGTGACAAACAGTTTTGCAGGAATTCAATCCAGTCCACAGAATACCTCTACTGTTTTATGTTCCATTAAACTCATTGCATCCTCCTATTTATTTTCCTGTGTTCCTATCTCACCCATCACTGAATATATGTCAGCCCTTTGAGGGTTGTTGTTATTTTAGGCTAAAGTATAAGCTAAAGTATAGGCTACTTTGTGGATATAGGGTAGAATAACAGAAACTTGCAACCTCACAGTATTTCCCTTTCTTTCTGTCTTATATCAGAGAGAACAAGGGAAGACAAGCTTAAGTTTATTTCTTATGCTTTCTTGTTTTCCTGGACTAAGCCCTTATTTTTGTTAAAGGCCTCTATGTAACTTTTCTAAAGTCATATCTATGTTCACCCAGTGTCTGCCTGCCTGCCTGCCTGCCTGCCTGCCTCTCTCTCTCTCTCTCTCTCTTTGTGTGTGTGTGTGTGTGTGTGTGTGTGTGTGTGTGTGTAATACTGCATACATCTAATGAAGTGGACTTTTGGTCTCAGTAAAATAGGCCATAATAAGGTGATTTAAACCTCCAACTGCTTTTGCTGAAATTGATAAGAATTCTTTCCTTTCCCAAGAAAGACTTTGGAGTTGTACTGATTTCATGTTCTCCTATGAAACCTAAATGCATTAGTGCCAAACTCGCGATGACACATTGTTGTTGTCACGTGATGTGTTGCAACTTCCCCCCCTTCACTAAACTGGGGGTGGGCATGGCCATCATATGACACATCCGGCCCACAGGCTGTGAGTTTGACACTCCTGCATTAGACTATTGTCATTAGTGGGGGTTATTTTGCTACACATCACAGATATAATCCAATGGAGTTTACATATCTTCAAAACACGTGGGATGTCTCTTGGACTACTACTGTACTACGCTCACTTTTGTTCAAATCAGTGCTGTCACTAAGTTAACCACTTTTAATCAGGTGTGAATATTTCAATTACGAAGTAAAGTGAAGATACTCTATTTTGCTCCAAAACTTTACTATAAGTGCCCTTTCAAAAGTTATAGATGATATAGCTAAGCATGCCTTCAAATGAGTTTGGCAATGGAATATTAAAATATTGTATGGTAGTAGAGGTAGTCCTCAACTTACAACCACAATTTAGAACAGAATTTCTAACTAAGTAAGTTGCTAAGTAAGGTGGTTATTAATGAGCCACACCCAATTTTATGATCTTTTGTGCCACAGTTGTTAAGTGAATCATTGCAATTAAGTGAATCACATGATCATTAAGCAAATCTGGCATCTCCCATTCCCTTTGCTTATTGGAAGCCAGCCAGGAAGGTCACAAATAGTGATCATATGACCCTAGGAGGTTCCTGCTGGCATAAATACAAGGAGGTTGCCAAACGCCTTATTTTGATCACATGACCATGGGGATGCTGTAACAGTCATAAATGTGAGGAGCAGTCAAAAGTCACTTTTTTCAGTGCTATTGTAACTTGGAATAGTTCATAAATGAATGATTGTATGTTGAGGACTGCCTATAGTTTACAAGCCAGTATTTCAATATGTATTGTTAATGAGGTCCTTTGTTTTCCTCAGCTCATGGCCAAAAAGGTCTCAAGATTTGAAGAAACATTTATAGAAAAGGAATACCTGATGTGTTGTGGATTTATGTGTCACAAGCCTTAACTGAAAGAAGTCCCACATATCTGGTTCAGTCTCATTGACAGAATCAAGTATGCATCATCTTCTAAGACTTGTTTTGGAACAGAAAGACCTTTCACGTGCTGGAGAGCTCTTTTCTCTGGACGATTCTGAAATAGAAGTCTGCCTATCTGAAGCTCTTGAGCAAATCAAACTAATTAGTTCATCTCCTGTAAGTAGAATCTTTCATACTCTTTGAAAAGCAGAATATGCCTTTGAAAAATGAGACTTAGCAACAGAAGCTCACTGAAAACAGATTACAAATCTCACTCTCAGTAAAGTGGGAGCAGTTATGATTTCTTTTCAGAATGACTGGGAACATAGCACATCAGTGTGTCTGCCTGAAAATAAAGTCAGCAGGAAGCAAAATTATTTGAAAATGTTTTCTGGTTGTTTAAAACAGAGTCACCTCGAACCGTAAGAAAAGCTGCAAATAAATTTGATAAATAATAAATCAATCAATCATTGCTATTATTATTATTTAGAACCTTTTTTAATTAAAATCATCAATGTAATAATAATTCCCTGTTTTTAGGCAAAGAGTGAAAAGAAAAGCAATATTGAATGATTGCAAGGATAGCAGAATATGGCAATAAAATTTAGAAATTGGGCATCTTACAAAATATTTCAGTGTTTTAGAAAAAATATTTTTCATACAAAGTACACTTGGTATCTGGCCTTTAAACTCAAATATTAAATATGTCTTAGTGTTTCTTGTGATAAAGGGATATTGCCAAAGTATATGCATCTGCTAGATGACACATGAATTACACCCGTCATCAGATTTATGCATTTTAGAATTTATTATTATTGAGCAATTTGGCAGACTGGCTAAAAATTATCTAATATGAATCATATACACCCAGGATTTGTATCTTTGACTGAATGGCTTACAACCTGACTTGAAAACAATACATATTAAAATAGAATAAAACAATAAAGTCTGTATTCCTTGGCCAGTGTTAAAGAATATTAACATGATGCCCATGGTGAGCATTTATTGATTTTCTCAAGAGGCTTACAGGAGAATATATGTTCCAAGAATAGTTATTTACCAAGCATCCCTGTTTTTTACTTATTTTGATTTTTTTTCTTTCAAAAGTATGCCCTACTCAGGTACACACGTACCTTTCAAATTTCAGCAAAAAGCCTGTGGTAACTTTGAAATATATGTAGAATAATAAATCCATCTAAGCCGCTGCCTTAGCTCATTGATACCACTGTTGAATTCAGTATTATTATAGAACATCAGACAATGTGGAGAAAACATTTGCCATTAGTTTCCACTTGAGGGCAGCAATAATGCATAACTGACCTAAAAGAACTTTAAATTTTAAAATGATTTAAATTTTCAGAATGTGAAGGATATACCGGTAGGTAGTTTTTCACAACTGAGAATCGAATGCAAATTTAATAGTAAATCTATGCATTCTTCAATATCTCACAACTGATAATTATTTTTAAAAGGATAGCATTCATATTGCCAACATAGAAACAAACACAGATATGAGTATTAAGGCTCACTGTTTTTAATAAGAATGTGTGGTTCGGGAAGAAGGAAGGAGTGTAAGTGGGCCATTGTTTTAAGGCAAGTGGGGAAAAGCTAGGAAAATTTGAAGAGTGAGCTTTGGGAATAGGAGCAAAGTCAATAATAAGAGGGGGAGGGAAAGGGAAAGAGAAGAGGGATTTATGAAAAAGTAAAACTATTACCTGTAAATAAGCATGAATTGCTGATATTCCTCCAACAAAAAACAACTTGTACTAATTAATCTTACTATATTGGGTTAGATAGAGGTACTCCTTGACTTATTATAATAATTAAGCCTGGAATTATGATCATAAATTGTTGCAGTTGTAAGTCACCCAGTCACTGGGAATAATTTTCTGGCCTTTTTCATGGCAGTTGTTAAGCAAATGCTACTGTTGCATTAAGAAATGCAGAGGTCATTAAGGAAATGACATGACATTAAGTAAACCATTCACGTGACTGGTTGTATTTATTGGAAACTGAAAAAATTTATGGAAACTGGCAAAAAATATATCACAAATTGCAAAGACATGACTGTGAAATGCCGTGACAGTTTGTAAAGCTGACCCACCCAACATGAAATCATATGACTCTGGACGGTATGACATGATCACTTATGACAATTGTGGATGCTTTATGGGCCATCAAGCACCTATTACATGGCTGTCATAACTTTCAACTGTCATAAAATGACCCAGTTGCTAAGCAAGGACTACCTGTAAAGTTTTAATTGTTTATAATCAATGAATTAAAAAAAGAAACCATATGTGCCCCTTAAATTCCAAAATACTATGCTAAGACCTTATTATGAGAGAAGATAAAATCAGCAGTAAGATTTTAAATTATATCTACATAGTCCCATAGCAAATTGGAATAGAGTTATGCCATTTCCAGCTTAATAAATCTAGTTTCCAAATGGGCATGATCAGTTATGATCAATGACAAATCAGTTAAGGTGCAGTTAAATATCAAATATTATTTATTTATTTATTTGATTTGATTTGTCAATCGCTTACAAGATAAAAGATATAAGTATATATAAGAAAAATAAAAGAAACAATAGGACAGAGACGGTAGGCACGTTGGTGCGCTTATGCATGCCCCCTACAGACCTCTTAGGAAACTGGTGAGGTCAATAGTAGACAGTCTAAGGTTAAAGTTTTTGGGATTTGGGGAAGAAACCACAGAGTCAGGTAGAGTATTCCAGACATTGATCACTCTGTTGCTGAAGTCGTATTTCCTGCAATCAAGTTTGGTGCGGTTAACCTTGAGTTTGTATCTATTGTGTGCTCTTGTGTTCTTATGGTTGAAGCTGAAGTATTCATTGACAGGGAAGTCATTGCAATGTATGATTTTATATACCATACTTAGATCAGACCGAAGATAGCGTAATTCAAGGTTTTCTAGGTCTAGAATTTCAAGTCTGGTGGCATAAGGTATTCTACAATGAGTAGAGGAGTGGAGAACTCTTCTTCTGAAATATTTCTGGACTTTCTCAACTGTGCTAATATCAGATACGTAATGTGGGTTCCAGACTGATGAGCTGTATTCGAGTATTGGTCTAGCAAATGTTTTGTATGCTCTAGTTAGTAGTGTGATATTACCAGAGAAAAAGCTATATAGGGTTAGGTTAACAACTCTTAATGCCTTTTTGGCTATGTAGTTACAGTGGGCTCTAGCACTTAGATCATTAGAGATGAGTATTCCAAGGTCCTTGACAGAGCTTAGATCATCAACAAGGTCTTGACTATTCAGCTTGTATTTTATTTTCTGATTTTTTTTTTGCCAGTATATAAGACAGAGCATTTATTTGTTGAGATTTGAAATTGCCATTTGTTTGACCATTCTGATACATAGTCAAGATCTTTTTGAAGTGTAGCAGTATTGTCTGTGGTATTGAACAGCTTTACATTATCAGCGAAGAGAACGCAGTTGCTTTTAATATGATCACAGAGGTCATTTATGTAGAGTATGAAGAGAGTTGGTCCTAGAACACTGCCTTGGGGGACACCACTATTGACAGCTACAGAATTTGATAGGACACTCCCAATTTTGACCATTTCTTGTCTGTTTGACAGGAATGCTTCCATCCAGTTATGCAGTTGTCCAGAGATACCATAAGATTTTAGGAATAGTTTGTCATGTACCACTGAATCAAAGGCTTTACAGAAGTCTATGTAGATTGCATGTATTGTTTTGCCCTGATCGAGTTGTGTAGTCCATATGTTTTTGCAGTATAAGAGTTGCAGATTACAGGATAGTTTTTTTCTGAAACCAAATTGTTTATTAGAGAGTAGGTTGTTTGTCTCTAAGTGGAGGATAATGGATTGGTTAATAATTGATTCCATGACTTTACAGGTGACGCAGCATAAGGAGATTGGTCTGTAATTTTCTTTCTTTCTTTTTTTTTGGAAAAATACTTTATTAGTTTTACCTTTAAAAGCACAACACAACTACAAGTTATGTACAACAAAAAGACAAACAGGCCTTAGCATAGGCCAAGAAGGAAAGAGAGGAAAGCCTAAGAGAGGAAAAAGGGAAGAGTAAGGGAGGGGAAGGGTAGAGTAGAGAAAACAGTTAAAATAAAACCATATTTTGTGACTGTCTGTTAGATCCTTTCTTCTTCAAAAATATCGTCGGCAGTACTTTTCTTTATCTCTGCTTCGGAGGCCCTCAGCCATAGTTTTCCTAGAGGTGATCTATCTTTGGTTTAGCCAATTATACAAAGAATTCCAATTGTTGTAATAGGATGAGGATTCTTTATTTTTTAATGCTTGGGTTAGTTTGTCCATTTCGGCGCATTGTAAAATTTTCTGAATAACCATATGTTCAGTGGGGATAGAAGGTAATTTCCAGCATTGGGCGAATGCCAATCTGGCTGCGGTTAAGATATGAATTACAATATACTTCGATTTTTTGGGTATTTGTTTATCGAAAATTCCTAGAAGGAAGGACTCTGGTTTGTACTCAATTTGTTCCTTGGTTATTTCCTCTAGCCAGCGCCTAATTTTTTGCCAGTACTTCTGGGTTTCCTTGCATGACCACCACATATGGAAGAAGGTACCTTCTATGCTTTGGCATTTCCAACAATTGGGGCTCATGTTGGGGTGCATCTTCGCCAATCTCGAAGGGGGCAAGTGCCATCTATAAAACATTTTATATGCATTTTCTTTATAAGCTGCTGATTTCGTGATCTTAATGTTCCTGTTCCAGATCCTTTCCCATTCTGCTAGGGTAATGCTCCGTCCCACGTTTCTGCTCCATGCAATCATATTTCCTTTGACAATTTCTTGTTCTAATTCAGTTTCTAATAAATGTTTGTAAAATTTAGATATTTTTTTTTGCTCGGTCCTAATAGGATTTTGTCTAATGTCTGTAATTTATTGTAGATTCCAAATTCCTTAATATCTTGTTTGTATCTACTATGAATTTGAAGGTACACCCACTGATCAATTATATATCCTTGCTCTTGTAATTCTTGTTGTGTTTTCAGTTTTCCTTGTGGATCTAATAAATTTTCGTACTTAATCATTTTAGTTATATCCAAATTATTAGGGTGTACTATCGCTTCCATTGGAGATAGCCAAATCGGTATTTTTAGATAGAGTTTTTTACGTACTTTTTTCCAATTGGTTAATAGAGAG